CACGAACCCGTGTCCCCTGCATCGGCAGGCGGACTCCCAACCACCGCGCCACCAGGGAAGCCCGGGTTTAGTTTTTGTTTCTTATTTTTCAAAGATGCCCATCATCAGGTTGAGGAAATTTTCTTCTACTCCTAGTTCACTGAGATCTTCCATCACAAAAGGATGTGGAATTTTGTCAAAAGCTTTTTCTGCATCTGTTAAGACAATCATAATGTTTTTTCTTCTTTCTTCTGTTGATATGGTGAATAATATTGGATGATTTTTGAATGTTGAACCAGCCTTGTGTTCGGAGGACAGACCCCACTTGCTTATGATGTATTATCCTTTCTCACATCCTGCTGGATCCATCTGCTAGTATCGTAATGAAGACGGAGAGGAGTTTTTGACTGAGCACATGCTTCCTGGCACTTTATCTGTGGAGTTCCTTCAGTTCTGAGCTGAAGCTGCACTTTTCCAGAGAGGGTTGGACTTTGTGTGGCTGGGCCCCGAAGCTCTTCCAACCTGGGACCACTTTCCCCTAAAGTCTCGGCTGGAGAGAGCACAGGGTCACAGGTCCAGGCTGCAAACCCACATGGGACTGGCTGATGGTTTCCTTTTTTTAAAAAAAAAAATTTTATTTATTTATTTATTTTTGGCTGCACTGGGTCTCCGTTGCTGTGCGCGGGCTTTCTCTAGTTGCATCGAGTGGGGGCTACTCTTCCTTGCGGTGTGCGGGCTTCTCCTTGCGGTGGCTTCTCTTGTTGCGGAGCACGGGCTCTAGGCACGCGGGCTTCAGTAGTTGTGGCTTGCCGGCTCTAGAGCGCAGGCTCAGTAGTTGTGGCCCACAGGCTTAGTTGCTCCACGGCATGTGGGGTCTTCCCGGACCGGGGCACAAACCCGTGTCCCCTGCATTGGCAGGCGGATTCTTAACCGCTATGCCACCAGGGAGGTCCTGGCTGATGGTTTTCAATTATCAAGGTGAACCCCTCGCCACCTTTAAAGGGCAAGGGGCCCATGCTGCTGTTTCCTTGCTGCTCTGCTCTGTGGCAGTTCATACTCGTGATGTACTTGCCCGCCACGTGTGCAGCCCTCTGAGGCAGACCCTTTGCTCTGAGCACTCCTGCCGCGTCCCATGCTGCAGCCGTGGGGAAGGTTCTGGGCCAGCAGGTCTCAGGGGCCCACGCCGGGAGCTGCACAGCTGATGTGAGGACCCCCACGAACCTCCCGTGGGGGGTGGCCCAAACTCCACTCGGAAGGCGGCCCCTCCTGACGTGTGGTGCTGGGGGTCAAGGCCAGCTGACCCCCTGAGCTAGCACAGGAGGCAGAGGAGGTGAGGAGGGGGCCCTACCCACTCACCCTCTGTCCCCCTGGGAACAGAACCATCTGTGTGCGACCCAGCGACTCTCCTCTCTCCACGTTTTGTAATCTCTGTTCTGATCCGCTGATCCATGTGTCCTTATCTGGACCACACTGTCTTGATTACCGTAGATTTAAAGTAGGTTTTGAAGCCACGTGTGAGTTTCCAAAAACGGTCTTTTGAAAGATGCTTTCCTGGAGTATTAGAAAAATACCGAGGCAGGGGTCCCATGCACCCCTGCATCCCATGTTCACACCAACGTTAATCAACAGTCCCCCAGGGGCTTCCCTGGCGGCGCAGTGGTTAAGAATCCGCCTGCCAATGCAGGGGGACACGGGTTCAAGCCCTGGTCTGGGAAGATCCCACATGCCGCAGAGCAACTAAGCCTGCAAGCCACGACTACTGAGCCCGAGTGCCACAACTACTGGAGCCCGCATGCCTAGAGCCCATGCTCTGCAACAAGAGAAGCCACTGCAATGAGAAGCCGGCGCACTGCAACAAAGACTAGCCCCCGCTTGACCCAACTAGAGAAAGCCCACGTGCAGCAACGAAGACCCAATGCAGCCAAAAATAAATAAAAAATAAAATAAACAAATTTATACATAAAGAAAACATATGGAAATGCAAGTACCTAAAATGTCCAAAGCAAATACCTTGCCAAAAAAAAGAGCAAAGTTGGATGACTTAACACTATGTGGCTTTAAGGCTAACGCTAAAGCTACAATAATCCAGATGGATGGTGCTGGGTCAGGAGAGGTAAATGGGTCAACCGATCAGCACACAGAGTCCAGAAATATACCCACACTTTCAATCCATTTGCAGCAAAGATAACAAATCAATCCACCAGGGAAAGGAAAGTATTTCAACCTGTGTTGCAGGAACAATGGGACATACACGTGGGAAAAAGAAGAGCCTTGGCGTCTACCTCACATCACACACAGAAATTAGCTGGACCACAGACCCAAACGTAAGAGCCACGTCTTATGTCCTTGGGATAGGGGAAAAGTTGCTATAAAGGCATAAAGCGCACACCTCAAAAGAAATGATGGGTAGATTTGTAAACATTAAAATTAAGAACTTTGGGACTTCCGGGACTTCCCCGGTGGTCCAGTGGTTAAGACTCTTTGCTCCCAATGCACGGGGCCCGGGTTCAATCCCTGGTCAGGGAACTAGATCCCACACGCATGCCACAACTAAGAGTTCGCATGACGCAACTAAAGATCCCTCATGCCGCAATGAAGATCCCGTGTGCCGCAACTAAGACCCGGTGCAGCCAAATAAATAAACAGAACTTTGGGACTTCCCTGGCAGTCCAGTGGTTAACACTCTGCACTTCCAGTGCGAGGGGTGCGGGTTTGATCCCTGGTTGGGGAACTAAGATCCCACATGCCACGTGGCACGGCCAAAAAAATAAATAAATAAAAAATAAAATAAAATTAAGAACTCTGACTTAAGAAAAGAGATCATAAAGGGAGTAAAAGGACAAGCCACAACTTCGACTTGGAGGCAATATTTGCAGCCTCCTAACTGACGAAGGCTAAGTATACAGGATCTGGAAAGAACTCCTATGAATAAATAAGAAAAGACAAACAACCCCATAGAAAAGTGGGTGAAAAGCTTTAACAGGTATTTCATACAAAAGAAAATACAAATGGTAAACAGGCACCTGGTAAGACAGGCAACCTCACTGGTGGCGTGAGCACTACAGACGGGAGCCTCCCTTCCCAGGCCTCCAGACCGACCCCGCGGAGCTGCCCAGTGGGACCCAGCCACGGGCCGCGGGTGGCTGTGAGCTCTTGAAATGTGGCTCTTGGGAAGGAGGAACGAAATTCTCCTATTACTTAATTTTGGTTAGTTTAAATCTGAATAGCCAGGCATGGCTAGTGGCAGCTGCACTGTGTAGCGCAGTCCCAGCTGCAGCCACGCGGGACGGAGGTCGTAATAACAGTGAAGCCACGCGTCCCCCACGATGCGGCAAAGACACGCCCCCAGGGAGACTCACACACTTGCAGACGCCGCCTGAGCCCCTGCGCGCACGGCCCGCGACGTGAAATCCCCCTGATGTGAGCCGGTGGGAGTGGCCTGTGACCCAGGCATGTTCGTGAGAGGAGCCGCCACGCAGAGGACCCCCGTCCAGTCCACGTGGACGCCCCACAGAGCTCAACGCTAAGCAACCAAACAACTCAGGATGTACTCGCCGCGGCTCCGATGCTGGAGAAATCCAGCCCTTTCTGACCGTGAACGTGGATGGAAAAAGCAAAGGGAGGCAAGGAAACGCTGAAGACAACGCCAGAGGGATGCCCCTGGGGAGGCGGTGCGTCCGGTGAGCGCGGCCGCATGGGACCTCGTCTTCCTCAAGCTCCGCCTGGGCTCGGGCTGCCGACCTCCTGGCTCTTCTTTAAACCATCCTCACGTGTTATACGCACTTGACTTCCGGACGGAGTTCAGGGTGGCCCCAGCCAGCCTGGGGCCTTCAGCGACCCCATCAGCAGAGCCCCCGGCCCCTTCCCCATCCCCTCCATCCCTCCACCAGGCAGGGCTCCTCAGATGTCCCAAGGGCCACCAAGGGCAGGGAGGAGGGCAGTTCCCCTTGTGGCCAGCCTGGTCCAAAGCTGGGCATTTCCTTTAAGTCTTCTGTTAGCTTAAATATGGATGCAAATTTTAATCCACTCCATAACCAGTATGTAGTTGAATATATAAATACGTATGAATATTTTCTTACTTACTTAAAACTGGAGCCCTGGAAAAATTCTGCACCGCCCAGCCCCCTGGCACCACACTGGCACAACCAGGCTTCGCCGGATGCAACCGTGCTTGGAGTGGCTCCCGGAATCTGTCCCTCTGGGGCCCTCCGACCCAGCCTGCCAGCCCCTCTGCCCGTCAGACGGCTGGGGCTCGGGACCCTGCTGCCAAGGTGGCTGCGTGCTGCGTGCAGGCGCGGGCCCGGCTCACCTACGGGGCGCCCCTCCTCCTCCTCCTTTATGTCCAGTTTTCCAGACTCCTTCCGGCTCGGCACACCTGCGGGCACGGACTCACTGCCCACCGTCAGCTGCTCGGAAAAACTGGTGGCGACTTTACTGTCAAAACCTTTGTCTTCATACGTAAAGCTACTGCTCTGAAAAAGAGAACGCGACACCTTTACTGGCAGTTTCCACTTGCCTTTCCCATCAACCGTCCAGACCCGCCATCTGGGGAGGGCCACGATGAGGGCCTGGCCGTATCCGGGCTGGGGGCCGCGGGCTCCCACAGCACCCCTCAACAGCTCTCTGGCAACCCGTGCCGGGCTTGTCCGGGGCTCAGGGCCCCTCTCGCCCAGGCGGGCTCCGCCTCGGCCCTGTCCCCGGAGCCTGCTGCATGCGCGCACGCAGCCAAGTACCTCCAGGACGCCTGCTCTTCCCCCACATGGGCTTGGGTCTCCCAGGCTCCAGCCCTGAGCTCTCCTGGCTTCAGCTCAGACCCCAGCAGGCTGAGAGCGGCCCAACCCCACCTCTGCTCCTTTCCCAGAGGTCAATGACCCCCAGTCCTCTCCCCTGGGCTTACAACAGATGGACGGAGTGCCTGCCGTGTGCAACTCAGGGGCCACGGGGGGACACACAGGGCACTGCCTGGGTGGAGCTGCCGTCCAGCCGGACAGACACCCACCAGGAGAGGGCTGGTGCCCGCGGGGAGCCCTGAGGGCCCAGGTGCTTGTCCTCACCCCCAAATAATCCCCCCCAGTGTCCACTGGCTGTGCTGGAAGTTGTCTCCACTGATGGGGTCCCACCTGTTTCCGCTTCCTCAGCAGCACACGTGCACAGCCTTCCCGTGAGAGGACCAGGGCCCCCCTCGCACCTTTGGGAGAGGTGCAGGTGCGGGGCAGGGTTTGCTGTGCTTTTCAGCCTGGGGTGTCCAGCCTGGAACGCCCGTCCCCACAGGCTGGGACTTTAGGGCCTGGAGCACTTGGCCACCACCTTGCCAACACGTATGACGGGACAGCATCCTGCTACCCTAGGTGCACTCCTCACAGAGACAGATCTCTTCTACCTAGACTGACCGGAGGCTGTCCTGCTGCTGGGCCTTCTCCCGCCCACATCAACGTGGCCCCCTTTACACAGACTCGTGGGACTGTGTCTCGTGGCGGGAGATGCCACATGCTGCCCTTGGCTGAGCAGTCATGGCGTTGACCAGGAGCAGAGCACACTCACTGTGTTGAGGACCGACGGGGACGTGTCCACCTCACAGCACTCTGATGCCAGGAGAAACTTGAACCTGGTACCCAAGCCCCCGAGGTTGGTCAGCGTGATGGTCTGGGATGCAGCCTCACCCACCACATAGCTGCCGAAGTCGATGAGCTCCTTGTCGAGGGACAGCTGCCAAAAGACCCCGAGTGAGCCAGGGTGACCACCAGGCTCACAGCAAGGTCTCTTCTCCCACCTGTCACCCTGCACCCCTGAGGGGACACAGGAGCTCTGGCCCTGTCTTCATGCTCAGAGGTGAGGCCTGCCTCTGGCTCATGGTGGGAGGCAGGGCCTCTGCACAAGCCAGGACACAATCCACATCCCAGAAATCATAGACCTGTGTACTGATCATGGCAGTTTGGGAGCACCTGAGCGCAAGTTTTGAAAAGTCAGGGACTTCCCTGGCGGCACAGTGGTTAAGAATCTGTCTGCCAGTGCGGGGGACACGGGTTCAAGCCCTGGTCCAGGAAGATCCCACATGCTGAGGAGCAACTAAGCCCGTGCGGCACAACTACTGAGCCCGCGCTCTAGAGCCCACAAGCCACAACTACTGAAGCCTGTGCTCCGCAACAAGAGAAGCCGCCGCAATGAGAAGCCAGCGCACCGCAACGAAGAGTAGCCCCTGCTCGCCGCAACTAGAGAAAGCCTGTGCAGAGCAACGAAGACTCAAAGCAGCGAAAAATAAATAAAATAAATAAATTTATTAAAGAAAAAACTTACATTACATTACATTACATTACACAGCTTACGTTAAAAAACAGGACAGGGAGTTCCCTGGTGGTCCAGCCGTCGGGACTCTGAATTTTCACTGCGGAGGGCCAGGGTTTGATTGCTGGTCGGGGAACTAGGATCCCGCAAGCCGCATGGTGCAGCCAAAAAACCAAAACCAAAACCAAACCAAAACATAAAACAAGACAGATCTCAAATCAACAACTTACGTTTGCTACTGAAGAAAATCAGGAAAAGAACGAAGTAAATCCAAAACTAGCAGAAGAAGATGATAAAGATCAGAGCAGAGACGAGCAAGAGAGAAGAGAAAAATAAAGAAAACTAATGAAACCAGAAGTTGGTTCTTCAAAAAGATCAACAAAATTGACAAACTTCTGCTAGGTGGACTAAGAAAAGAAAGACTCAAATTACTAAAATCAGAAATGAAAGTGGGGACATTAATACGATTCTACAGAAGTAAAAAGGATTATACGTGAGGACTATAAACAATTGTACCAACAAACTGCAGGAAACCTAGATGAAATGTACAGATCCCTAGAAAACAAAAAACCTACCAACACTGAACCAGAAAGAAAGAAGACAATTTGAATAGACCGATGACTAGTAAGAACACTGAATGTATAATAAAAAATCTCCTGACAAAGAAGAGCCCTGAACCTGATGGCATCACTGATTAATTCTACCAAATGGTTAAAGAATACCAACCCTTCTCAAACTTTCCAAAAAAACTGAAGAGGTAGAAACACTTCATAACTCATTCTAGGAGGCTGGCATAACCCTGATACTAAAGCCAGACAAAGATACCACAACAAAAGAAAAGTACAGACCAAAATGCCTTATGAATATTGACGCAAAAACCCTCAACAAAATATTAGCAAACAGAATATACACAATGACCAAGTGGAATTTACTCCTGGAACGTAAGGATGGTTGAATGTAAAAATATCAATCAGTGAAGTATGTGACATCAGCAAAATGAAGGGGAAAAACCCACACGATTATCTCAATTGATGAAGAAAAAGCATCTGACAAAATTCAACACCCTTTTATAATAAAAGCACTCAACAAAATAGGAATAGAAAGAAACTACCTTTATATAATAAAAGCCAAATATGAAAGCAACATAACATAATATTGCAATATAACATAACATAATATTCAATGGTGAAAGACTGAAAGCTTTTACTTTAAGATGAGGAATGAGGGAAGGATGCCTGCTTTCCCCACTTCTATTCAACATGGTACTAGAAATTCTAGCCATAGCAATTAGTCAAGAAAAAAACGGTATCCAAGTTGGAAAGGAAGAAGTAAAATTATCTCTGTTTGCAGATTACATGATCTTATATGCAGAAAATCCTAAAGACTCCACAAGAAAGCTGTTAGATCTAATAAACAAATTCAGCAAAGTAGCAAGATACAAAGTCAACACACAAGAATCAGTTGCATTTCTGTACATGAACAATGAACAATCTGAAAAGGAAATTACAGAAACAAATCCATTTACAATGACATAAAAAAAGAATAAAATTTTTAGGAGTTATCTTAGCTAAGGAGGTGAAAGGCTTGTACAATAAAACTACAAAACATTGTTGAAAGAAGACATAAATAAATGGAAACACATCCCACATTCATGGACTGTAAGACTTACTATTGTTAAGAAATCAATATTACCCAAAGCAATCTACAGATTCAATGCAATCCCTTTCAAAATTCAAATGACATTTTTTAAAGCAACAGGAAAATCCATTCTAATATTCATATGGAATCGCAAGGGACCCAGAATAGCCCAAACAATCTTGAAAAGGAAGAACAAAACTGGAGGAGTCATTCTTCCTCATTTCAAAACTTACTGCAAAGCTACAGTGATCAAAACAGTGTGGCACTGGCATATAGACAGACATATAGACCAATGGAGTAGAACAGAGAGCCTAGAAATAAACCCTCACATATATGGTCAAATAACTTTTGACAAGAGTGCCAAGACCATTCAGTGGGGGAAAAGACAGTCTTTTCAACAAATGGTCCTGGGAAAAGTGGATGTCCACATGCAAAAGAATTACCTAATTCCATACACAAAAATTAACTTAAAATGGATCAAGGGCCTAAATATAAGACCTAAAACAATAAAACCCTTAGAAGAAAACAAAGGGTAAAATCTTCACAACACTGAATTTGGCAATAATTTCTTAGATACGACACCAAAGGTGCAGGCAACGAAAGAAAAAATTGACAAATTGGACTTCATGAAAGTTGAAAAAAATTTTTACATCAAAAGACATTTTCTATAGAGTAAAATGACAGCCCAGAGAATGGGAGAAAATATTTGCAACTCATATATCTGATAAGGGGTTAATACCCAGAATGCACAGAGAACTCCTAAAACTCAACAACAACAAAACAAATAACAACCAAATTCAAAATGGGTAAAGGGGCTTCCCTGGTGGCGCAGTGGTTGAGAGTCCGCCTGCCGATGCAGGGGACGCGGG